CTGCTGAACTGCGGCTTCATCCATCACGCACATTAATAACTCCTAGCTAATAAAATCCACCATCTTATTTCCAGATTTGATGGAGAGCAGCACAAAGCAGGGGATCAAGGTAGCAGAGCTGGTTTTGAGTGGCATTTCCTACCTGGACACGCGCAGTGAGTTCTGGCAGCAGCAGAAGCCCATTTATGCCCGCGTGAGAGAGCACAAGCTCAGGCAGCAAAGGTGGACCCAGGACAAGAAACGGAAACTGGAGGAGCCTGGCAGATACATCATGAAGAGTATGCAGGACATCGACATGTGTAAGTGTCCTGCTGGGAGCTGTTGGAAAACGGTGATTGGCACCTGTAATTATAAGCCTGGCAGATACATCATGAAGAGTATGGAGGACATCGACATGTGTAGGTGTCCTGCTGGGAGCAGTTGGAAAACGGTGATTGGCACCTGTAATTATTTGCTGTGGTGATTACAGACCAGATGAACAGAAGCAGTGCAAGTATCCACGAGCAGCAGTAGGCAGTCTGGGGAAAGTAGTTGCTTTTGTGTTCTTCACCTTTCCCAACGCTTTCTATGATACAGAATCCAACACCTTATTTCCTCAGCTTTTTCTGTACCCGAGGTCTTGCTGTTTGGTTTTCAGGACACCACTCAGATACCAGAGCCAGGCAGGACACTGCTGCATGCTTAGTGAATGCCTCTGGCTGGTTTGGTAATGAGAAGTTCTTTGAGAGGATGCTCAAGTCAAGAACTTCTGTAGTTCAAAAATACCATTGCTGTGATGAAGGTGGTTTCCAGTCGTGCCAGGCAGAGGTCAGAAGGACCAGCTCCCAGGGCAGATTTCTTGGATACAGGAGAGAGGAGTGTAGTAGATGCATGAAGAGTTAGGAGCTCTAAGCTCTGTCTGAGGCTCACACAACTGCATTTAGTTTTCCCCATATCGATGTGTCCACATACCTGCATTAAACCTCCCTCTATCTCTAGTGCTGATGGCCAACGCCCCTGAAGAAAGCTGCAAGAAAGCTGAGCATGTGCTGAAAACAATACAGGAGTGGTCGGACGATGCAGTTCCCAACAAGAACGAACTGATCGGAAACCTCCACAGCTGCATTGGGAATGCTCAGTTCGAGATGGGCCAGATGAAGGCAGCTCTGCAAAGCTATAAGATGGATCTGGCAGTTGCCAGGCAGAAGTAAGTGCTGAGTTCAGCCGGATGGGGAAAGATTCGATGTACAGAGGAAAGTTCCCTGTTAAGGTGTTTGGTCATCAGGTAATACTGTAAAGCTCACCTGGAGATCTAACAGGGCGAGGCACCCAGACTCTGCCCCAGTGTCGTGGTCTCCAGTGACTTCCTAGCTTGACTATTTCAAAAATTAAGAGACCGAAGCAGATTTCTAAAGGACCCAGACCCCATAGCACACCTAGATCTCTGCTGGAGCAAAGCAGAAGAGAACACAGGTCCCAGTCTCAGCCTCTGGTATACACTTCCTTCTCAGGAAGGCCAGGCTCTAGATTGCATGAGTTTCCTGCTACATTTTCTCTTAAAAGCATTTGTATTCAAACCCCAATGGCAGAGTTAGAATATTTACCCAAGAGGTGCAGTTACCTGCTCACACAGAACAGTCTGGCACTGGGCCTTTGCCTCTCATTCTCCGCACAGCCTGAGGTCGCGTTGTGCACAGAGAAACCCTACCAGGCTGCAGACACACAGACTGTACCAGGAACACGACGGTTCCAGCTGCTGTCATTTCTTTCTCTTATCCACGCAGCAACCTGCCAGATGCCATATCCAGAGCCCTTCACAACATTGGCAAAGTTTATGCCAGAATCGGCAAATTCCAGCAAGCTATCGACACGTATGTACAATTAGTGACAGAAAAGGCGCACGGTTGTATTTTGAATTGAATATATGAAGTCTTTACAGTTTGTTTAATCATACTGCTAGCAAGGGGGGCTGTGACATTTGTCATACTATTAGCATGGTTTAACGTTTATAAAATCAGCGGTTGAAACTGTAACTGCACCTGGTGAGATTCGGTGAATTCAGTAAGTGTTTGTCTTTCTTATTCTCTGCTTGAAGTTGGGAGCAGAAGATTCCAATGGCAAAATCCAGCCTGGAGAAGACTTGGCTGTTCCATGAAATCGGCCGATGCTGCCTGGAGCTGAATAAGGGTGAAGCAGCCCAGAATTACGGACAGAAGTCCCTGCAGTCAGCAGATGTGGAAGGAGACGTGGAGTGGCAGCTCCACGCTACCATTTTGGTGGCACAGGCACAAGGTAAAGGCATGAACACGAATTTTGCTCTAAGGATGGAGACAGCCTGACTGTGAAAACATCTCTGATTTAACAGCCAACGTAACTGCGCAGGTCAAGACCTCTCATCTCAAATTAACTATTATTGTGCTCTTGATTTTGGGTTAAAATAGATGTTTTCATTGGTCCGTTACAGTAAAATTGAAGGATTACCAGTCTGCAGTCATGAACTTGGAAAAAGCACTTGAGAAGGCAAAGCTTATTCAGAGTGAAGATGCTCAAAAGGCCATCATTATTGTAAGTACGTGGGTTGTTCGAAGAGAAGAGGAGCTTCTTGGGCACAAGCTGGAACACAGGAGGTTCCACTTCAATTGGAGAAGAAACTTCTTCTCAGTGAGGGTGACAGAGCCCTGGCCCAGGCTGCCCAGAGAGGTTGTGGAGTCTCCTTCTCTGCAGACATTCAAAACCCGCCTGGACGCCTTCCTGTGCAACCTCATCTGGGTGTTCCTGCTCCAGCAGGGGGATTGGACTGGATGAGCTTTGGAGGTCCCTTCCAATCCCTAACGTGCTGTGATTCTGTGATTCTGTGAGCTTGGGGCAGCACCAGCACATTGGCTGTAACTATTGTCCAGTGTCCTGTGAGTGGAGAAAACATCACTGCACAGCTGGGGTGTAGGGGGATGCAGCCTCTAGCCCAGTTTACATCTTAGCAGTTATGGAAACAGCCCCAGTTCATGATCCAGTAGAAGGGTGAAGCTCTGGCCCTGCTCGGGTCAAGGGAAAATTTTCTTTTGACCTCCCTGGGGCAAGGATCTCACACACAGAAAACAGCACGGCCTTCTCTGTGCTCTGTTGCCAACAGCTGCTGATCACAGCTACCCCCTTCTCTGACCTCTTCAAAACATCCCAGAGAAATGCATCCCAGAGATGACACCCAGCTTCCCAGGCAACACTCAGAGCAGGACACCCACCCGTGGTGAGCCCTCCTGGGCATCCAGAGCTCAGGCAGGGCTTGTTCTGCTGCCAGAGAACAATGACTGTGAGAGAGATGACACCTTCAGGGGAGGAGGTGTTTGCTGAGGAGTACGAACAGGCAGCAGCGCCTGCGGGAAGAGATGAAGCAGATCGTTGTTGTAGAGAGTTTGATGGTAGCAAAGGACCAGGGATAGCAGAGAGCAAAAGAAAACAGAAAAATCTTAGGTACATAACTGCATTTCTAGAGCTTTTCTTAATAAGCTGTATCACTTTCAGGCCTTAGATGATGTGAGCAAAAGCATCATTGAAGAGCTGAACAGAAGAAAACAAGAAACAACGGATTACTCTCTTCAAGGTAGTTGTCATTCTGACCTTTGCACCCCGTAAATATAAAAATTCCCCAATTCCCCTTTCTGAAACACAGACCGAGGCACGGAAACAAAGCGCCCCACTCCCAGGTACCAGGCATGTGCATTTCTGGCCCCTCTTGCATCCTCTGCACTACCACACAGCGGCAGAATTCGTTTGTATCTGAAGCCGCAGCGTAGTTATCATCGGTGGCTTCAGCCTGTAGGTAGGGAAGGTTTAATTTTGAGCTGGTATAAACCAAGTAAGTGATGTCAATGAACCTTGATGGCAGTGAAGGAGCCTGGTTTCACTCCTCAGGGCCGTCCGTTTAAAAAAAAAACCTGCTTTTAATAAGACTGAAGGCAGCCCCAGTGCCCGGAGTACAGGATGATGGGCGCAGTGAGAAGAAAACCTGTCGGGAAAAGCGACTGTGGATGTCTGAGCCCCGTGGTGCAGCGGCAGGGCCCGAGCAGGAGGTGGCAGCATCTCCCAAGCGTCCCTGCTGCCCGTTCACCTCGGAGCGGCACCGGCATCGCCTGGAAACCCGGTCCTGAGGGGCAGAAAATAGGGAGGATGGAGAGCGGGGGTCTGCCCTGATGGCTCAGTGCTGGAACTTGGCTTAAAATTGGTTTTCCACCCCCAGATGATGATTTCGACAGTGAAAACATGAGAGGCGACGGCTTTGAGGACGGAGAGAGGAAGGAGAGCGAGCAGAGCGCGGAGACTGGGGAGGAAGAAAAGGAAAAAGCCGCCA